AGTTTCCCTTAGACTGTGACCTTAAACACACTTCAGCTTAATGCTGTTATCTCCAGTGGGAAACACTTTCTGCCTCCAAGGTGTAAAATAGCACAGATAAGACCTGCTTGTTGGTCATATTTAGCAACTCTGACAAAGGAGCACAAGTCTCTCTCCTATTTTAAATGTAGAATTACCTAGGTTCTTAAACTGATTTAAACTTACCTACATTTTTTACCTCTTTTTTCTTGAGGCATCTGTAAATGAAAGTGATGTTTGAGTTCTTAGATATCGTCCTCCTGCCTTTCTCTCAATTTTCAGTCTCTTACAAGCTTTTTCTGGCATTGTTCTTTCCTCTTTTCTCCCTTCCATTATGTTCCTCTGTGCTCTCTGCTTTCTTCCTCCTACCCCTTCCTCTGCTGTCTGCCATTCTCCTTTTTACTTGCCTTCTCTTACATCATTTTGGTTTGTTCGTCTGTTTTCTTGTTTCTCTCAGTTCCATAATAACTTTCATTTTCTTCTCAGACTCCTGATTGCTTTTTCTGTTGTCCTTCTTAGGGCTCTTCCTTGCCCCTCTCCTTGCTCCCTCGCATTCCTCCCTCTCCATTCTCACTTCAGCTCTTTTTTACCTTTCTGTATTTTTTTCAAAACACATAGATGTGTGCACGCTGTGATTTAATAGCCCTATCACTTCCACTTGACCCATTTGTCAGCCTGCTGGTTTAAGTAAAGCCACGTGATAATTCCTGTAGTTCTGCAAACCACAGAAGTCTTCCATGATGGGCAAGAGTTGAATTTCTAACATTAAAAAAAAAGGGGGGGGGGAGGCAGAGAGCGAAAGCATCTGGCAAGTATTGTTCTAAGCCATTTTTATCCAATATCAAGAAACATTTAAAAGGCATAATATGAGTTATTTTCCTTTTCAGACTTCCTGACTGTAGTTGCTTTTTGCTCAGAGGATGTGCTCTGTGTGGTTTTTCCACCCGCTGTCGCCTTGAAGACTGGCATCTTGTGCACATTCGCAGGCTCAGGCAGATGGTCAGCTCAGCGCCGAGCACGTCCTCCGTGGTTCCTTTCCCGCACTCTGGGAGTTGCTGCTTGCCATCTTTTGATTGTTCTGATTAATAAATGTAATTCTGCCTCCCCTGCCCCATAAAATAAGTAATTGATATGTGTCTCAGCACTGATAATTTTTCGTATTTTCTTACTTTCTGATAAGCCAAGGTGTAGTGTAGGAGATTGAACCTGGAGTGTGACCAGGGAGAGCTTTCCCTTTTTCTCCATTTTGTAAAGAAAAGTTGAAGGGAATTTTGTTACTTTAAAAATGTGTTTGTGGGCTGGGGTGGGCGATGTTTCTCATTTTCTCCATCTTCACTTTGTGTACAAGTAATTGAAATTTTGCCTGGAAGATTCTGTGGGCATGAGAAAATTGATGAAATGAGTGTTTAGTAAATGAAACTGGCTGATACTTTTAAGCTCTTTGCTTTAAAGCTGTCTGTTTACCTTTGATAGTGCCTACTTAATTTGTGTCCTCAGGAAGAAAAGCATTTATGTAAAACTCTGTAAAGTAATGAGTTAGGAACTAGGACTATCAGAGAATGTCTGGAGGAGTTAGAAGAGATGGTCTCTTCTAAGACCTTCTTCTAAGAGGAGATGGTCATGAGTGGGTTGCTAGGCTGACCTCCAGGAGGGCTGAGCTTTTGATTTACTGTGTGCTGGAAAGCTGCTTTATAATCTTATGCCTCAGTTGCTCTTTTTTGCTGTTTATTTAAACTATAGCTTCTTTAGTGTAGGCACTGCTTCCCTCCTCCCCCCAATGTTTAGGACCACAAAGCTGGAATCTATATAGTATCCTATTGTTATTCCAATAAAAGTAAGTAGAAAAACCCCAGAAAAAAATAAAGACATGACCTATTTTTAATGTATCTGAAATCTTAAAAAAAAATAGGGAAAAGTTTGTCTGGAAACAAAGAATATGAATTTTTTTAGTCTATAAATTAAGGAAAATACAATTGAAATAATACTGATTTTAAAAAAGTTCTTGGTAGTCCATCTTCTAAAGCACTAGACCGGAAGTCAGGAGAGCGGTGTTGTGCAGCATGGCTACGGATGGGGCTGTGTGGTGGCTGAGGTTATCTAGTGCCTGCTCTACATTTCCTGCATTTGAGAACTACCATTGGGAAAAATTCACTCTGCAGTGTGGTAGCACTGTGCTTCGAGGCTCTGCATGCGGGTGGGAAGCGGTGTGTTTACTCAAGTAGCAGGATGTGTGGGGAGTAACTGAGAAATGAAGACTGGTCCTATAAAAAGAAGGTATTGTTACATCAGAGAGATAAATGTTTCATGAAGTCTTCTGAGAAGGCACGTTAATTATGGGTTGTTACAGAAAATAATAGCGGACTTCTTGTCTTATGAGCTGAAATCCTGATACTCAAAGTAAAATCTCCTACAAGATACAGTATGATTTAACAGTTCACAGCATTTTGTAATTGGTTGGGTTTGTTGTTTTTTTTTTTTCCTTCTTATTGTCCAGGATATTGTAATAGTTACCTGGGAGTTGTGTACTGTAGGTTGTATGATACAGTTCTCATTGTAAACGTTCCCCTTTGAAATGAAAGCAAACACCTTGGCAAGGCAGCTGGGTCTGCTTTGATAAAGATTTCTAACGCTTTCTCCTGGAAACAGCAACTTGGGGCTTGTGATTAGGGAGCAAATCGGTAAGGACTTTGGGTCTGTGCCAAGGGAAGTTCTACCACCGGTGGCGTTTTTGTGTGAACAAGCTTTGCCGCTATGAGCAGTAGAGGAAGATGAGTTGCTATGAAGGGAAGAGGCAATGGAGTGAAAAGCTTGGTATAATGATGGCCAATATACGAGAGGCCAAATGGCGTATTTGCAGAACTGAGAGCGTGGCAGCTTGGTTTGTGGCTTGAGAGCCAGCACTGTCGCCAACTGCTAGCTCTGGGGGCGTAGGGGCTGGGAGGAACGTGTGGCAGGGTCGTACTCTGGTGGTTTCGGCAGCACTAACGTCAGATGGCTGTGCTTAGCTGGGCCTGGTTGTAGTTGAGGCTGCTGGCTGTTTTATTTTAAGTAATGAGAGGTCATTTTTGCTTAGGAAAGGCAAGGCCAGTCTTCACACTAGATTTCCTTTCCCTCTCCTTGAGCTATAAGAGGCGTCTCTACTCTAACATGGTTTCAATAACTACTCACAGACTGTGAAGAGATGGGTATGTTGGAGGATATACGGAGGATATATCTCAGAGGAGCTAAATCTCCTCCTCTTCCTCCCAGTGTGAGAGAGTAATTCCACTGGATTGACAGTATTGAAAATGAGAGTAAGATCTGCCTTGATATCTAGCATCTTCTACGTAGATGTTGTGAGTTTGATATTTGAATTTCCACGGATAAAGTTGGGACAGTTAGGAAACTTTTGTCATCACATATATGATAGACAGGACATCCCACGTGCTGTTGCAGATTGGAGAGCTGGAACACGTGCTAGGTAGTTAGCGACTACAGATGTTAAACTTGCTCGAGGAATTAGATAGTGAGTAGGACAGCACCATAAAATAGAAGCTGTCTTCTGCTGACCTGACTCGGTGGTTAAGCCAGACCACGACTTCGGGATAGTTCCCTATAGGTTCCCCTGCTGACATTTTTTGTGACAGTAATGAGAGAATGATGAGATTACACTGTATTTAAAAATGACATGCAAGGTTGTTAAATTCAACAGAGTGACCTACACATTGATCCAGTGTGTAACTGGAATGTGTACTCAGTGTTGATATTGTGGTTGCTATTTCATATTGCAGCACCTTTGATAACAGAGGTAAGGGTGGCTGTACAGTGCTGTGGGAAAGGGACTCTCTTCAGGGAAGGCAGCAGGAGTGCTGAGGGTAGCGAGGGCTGTTTTCAAATTATTCTGTGCTATGGGATGTATATGCCATTAACTGTCTTTGAGTGTGGTGGTAAATAAGTACTTCGTGTTGCTCACATGGAGCTAGCATGTTTGTTCTCCTCTTTTTGTCTTTCTTTTCTGTATTTTGTGAGGAGCGCTGTCTGTGCCATACTCTGTGCAGTGTGGCTTTCCAGTGGTGTTGCAGAGTCTCTTCTCCGTGGGGAGGTTGCCTGATGACCAGCAGAGAAGTGATGTTGCTGATTCTGGCCAAACTTGGGGTGTCAGTGCCTGCAAGATGTGCTTGTGGGATCGGAAGAGGAACTTTTTTATTTTTAATCCAGCCCTGGGGCAAAACTTCTTCTGTGTAGCATACATTGCTGCTAATACCTGGCTCTAGCTTGTGCCACGCTTGGGTGGCTGGGAATCAGGTAGGAATAGTTGCTTCCCTCCTGTCTCTACCTTCCTGAGAGCAGGGAGGGAATTCTTCAGAGGTCGTTCTCTTTTGGATGTGGATTAGTCCTCAGAGAGTGGTTGGCCATCTGTGACAGTTAAATATGGGGGGCTAATAGTTTGGGACAGACCCTCCTTTGACATCTATAAATTGCAACCCATGCTGGAAAGAGTTTAGGCCATAATACACGTGCAGTCCTGTATGTTCTTACTAGTCTCACAGCAAAACTCTGAACGCTAATAATGCTTTCCTATCCCTTCCTCTTGCCAGTTGATTCACTTGGAGTCTGAAAGGACCATTACCAACATTTGCCAAGTAAAATGTCTTTCAAGCCTAGCTTTTAGAGCATTTGATGGTTGCATCCGTGCAAGACTAGGTATCGTTTATCACTCTAAAAGTAGTCAGATATGGATGAATCGTGAGCCTCTATTTCCAGTCTATAGGACTGTCACTGGCCCAAAAAAACCCCCAAAAAGTCCTGAGTCAGGGAATTTCACAAAATCTAGTTTATTGCCAATTAACATGAACTTTTACTTACTGATTCCGGTATTGGGCAATAAAGATGAACAATTGAACAGGTGCTTAGGGAAGCACCCCTTGGCTTCCCTCTGGATGCATCTCTCCCCCTTCCTGGTCCCCAGCCCCCTCGTTACACGTGATCCCTGTGGGGTGGCGATGGGGGCTGGTGCGCCGCAGTCTCCTCAGGGTGTACCTCCTCCGTCGTCGTCGTTTGCACAGCCACCCCCATCGTTTGGGCGATTCCTTTCGGGTGGCCTTCCCTCCCTCCTTACCTGTTTTTCGCCTGGTCTGTTGGGCGGCGGTGGTGGTCAGTTTGTGTCACTTTGTTGTTTTAACTCTTAGTTTTTTTTAAAATCAGTCTTAGCGAAGGCACATGTAGACCCGCAGACCATGGTAACCTCCTTGGTGGCTTGCAGCTGAATGCCTGTGCAGTCCCTCATTTCAGCAGTGCCAGAGGGAACAAGGCAGCCGGATGTCTGGCACACAGAAAGCGGGCCTCTTTTTTCAAGGTTTCAGGCGCCTTCCAGCAGCGCATCCGTAATGGTGTGCTGCAGCAAAGAGCTCTAACAAAGCAGCGAGCAGTTTTGCGTATGGCAGGGACTCTTACAGAGGTTGCAGAGAGGTTGCACGGGGTGGGCACATGCGGGGGCACTGGAAAGCTTTCGGTTCAACTCCGGTGTTCTGCCACCCTGTTTATGGTATCATTGCCATCAAGCTGTTTGGTGGCTATGTTTAAACACTGGTATCTAGGCATTTGCGAAAAAAGAAAACCAACCAAAGCGTACTTACAAATGAAGGAAATGTCTTTCAACGTTACTTATGTGTATTTCTTTCAATCTTCCACAGACTGCCTTTTCAAGGTGTGTCCTATGAACCGATACTCAGCCCAGAAGCAGTACTGGAAAGCCAAGCAAGCCAAACAAGGAAACCATACAGAAGCAGCACTGCTGAAGAAACTTCAAGTAGGAGACATCTGTATTTGTAATCTTATCTCAATCTGCAGGCTGTAGAATTACAATAGAATGAGAAAGAATAAGTGCCTTAGGAACCACCGTGATGGGTATTATTATGCCACTAGAGCAATTTTTATATTCTCCTTTAGCCCTTCTGAGTGGCATTTATTGCCGCTGCCCTGTTTTTTATCTTACTTTGGGCCGGAGGTTGTGCCTTTGCTATAAGCAAAATATTGCTTTAAGAAGTTTTATGAAGTAAAAATGGAGTTGTTAAAATCAGGAATAGGCCCTGGTTTAAATCATGCTGTTATTTTAGAAGTCCTTTCCAGGAGTTAGACAGAGGGGTGGACAAAGAGATGTTTTCAACGCTTTAGTCTGGAAATTCCTCAGAATTGCAGTTATCTTTGCTTTCAGTCTAGGTGATTCTTCTCTGAGCCGTTGGACACATTCTATTTTGCATCAGATACAGTGTGGATGGAGCAACTCCTCTGTCTCTGAAAAAGAGCTGGCCTGATGTTACACTTGACTGCATAAGACTAAGTGAAAACAAGGTCACATCAAACCTGGTCGCTAGTGTCACGTGCAGTGGAGGGGCTGCCAGTGCTTCCAGTTAAAAACAGCAAGGCAGGCACGCGGTGTGTGGCTAGAGCTAGCTACGCAGTGGCTGGGGCTGGCAGCTGAGAGTTGGTTCTGTGTTTGACCCAGACTGTTGTGCTTATCCTCGATTTTGTGTGACCTAGCAGTTTTGTTTTGTTATATATAAAGTCAATGTATTTGTATGCAATTAAAAGCCCAACAAGTAAAAGGAATGGTGACAGGGAGAAGCTAATCATAGGCCCTTCTTTTTTCCCTTTCAGGATGAAATAAAGCACCTGGAATTATTCCTTGTGCTTGAAAATTTTTAAAGTAGCATGCATCTCAGGTGTGATCCATAAATTGTGACTGAGTTTCTATTCTGGGTAATAAAAATGTAGAATCATTACACTGAGTCTGTGTAATTATAGTTCCGAAAATGATGCTGCAGCAGGATTCAGGTGCTAATATTTTCAGTGCAGTAATGCTTGCAGGTTGGAGGAAGCATTTTAAATGCGATGCCATTTCCTTTTTACACTATCTGTTCCAGTAGCTGAATACAGGTACTGATTTTGTAGGGTTTAAAGAAATATTAATTCTCTTGCAGCATGCAGCAGAACTTGAACAAAAACAGAACGAAAGCGAGAACAGAAAGCTGTTGGGCGAAATTGTAAAATATAGCAATGTCATACAGGTAAACCTATTGAAATCCATCTGCCTTATCTCAGAGCTGGGAAGGAAACAGTTGTTTCATTTCAAGGTTAGGGGGAAAATGAAACTAACCACTGTAATCCGAATTGTCAAGGGTCAGGTAAACAGAACTTGGTGAAGTTTACAATATTGTGTTTTTCTGTCTCTTTTAAAGCCTACCAGAAGTGCTGCATATTCATGTTTAAATAATATGTCATAATATAAATTTTATGTGTAGTTTTTGCTGCTGCGGTTTAGAATCTGAATGTAAATATGTATCTTCTAAGATTTATTTCAAAATTGTATTATAGAGGAGCTGTGCAGCTCCTTTTAAATCACTGAAGTCATTTGTACTTCATGACACATAAATGAGACAGAAGTTATGTTCTTGAATGCAGTACAGCTTTCCTGTAATGGATGAAATTCCTGAAGGTAACACTGTTAATGGACCCTTGCCCCACCTATGTAGTATATGCTGTAAAATTGACACGTTTCTCTCAATCTGAAATACAGCGTCTCTTCTCCTGAACTGCAGTGTACTTTGATAACTCTGTTCTAGTTTTATTTTGTCTCTATGTATGTCATGAAAAATCACTGCGGCGTGAACGCCTGCACCTCCTCTTTTGACTGAAGGGAGAAAAAGCAACAGCTGTACTAATTTTTTTAACTATTATTTGTTCACAGCTACTGCACATAAAAAGCAACAAGTACCTCACAGTCAATAAGAGGTTGCCGGCTCTGCTAGAGAAGAATGCTATGCGGGTGTCTCTGGATGCTGCGGGGAATGAGGGGTCCTGGTTTTATATCCAGCCGTTCTGGAAACTGAGGAGTGAAGGTGACAATGTAAGTGGAAATACTGAATGTGTCAGAGGGAGAAGGCAGAAGGCTTCCAGGAGACACGTAATTTCTTTGCTACTGGCATAAATCACCACGGATTAAGTTCAGAAAAAAAATATTTTAAATGGGGACTGTTAGCTTTTATGTGTAACTAGAAAGCGTTAACAATTATACGGTCTGGAATCTGAAATCTTGCCACATTCATCTGAGCCTCTGCTGACCTGTGTTGGGGCATTTTTGCTAAGTCCACTTGTGTGCAGATTTACAAAGCTGATAATAAATCATAGTTCACACTAGAGTAAACACTTTTTTTAAGTTGGGTTTTTTTTAACATTCTGGGCAATATTTTTTTTTCAGGCGGTCAGCAGATAATGTCTCTAGGAAATACATCAGGTTTCTTTAAATCTGTATCCCTCCTCAACATGAGAGTGGCACCTGTGATTGGAACTGGGTTGGCGTAGTCTGGTGTGTCTTCTCTGGGTAGGTTTCAGTAGGAGTCTTGTGTATTGGTGAGAGGAGGAATATAGAAGATAGCTCTTTGCTGCAGATCTGAGAGTTGCGCCATGAGATCAAAACTCAGTTCTTCATTCAGTCAGCCGTGGCTTGGTTAAGTGCCTGCTGTGGAAAATTCAGATCTGCCTCCGGGAAAGCCACACAATGAACTTGTGTGGTTTGATATTGTAGTCCTGGCTCAGAATGATTGGCCACTCTCCCCTGTGAAGTAATCAGTGAAAGAGCCCTCTCAGGATCACAGGGAGGAATGCCTGTTTTCTCGTGTATTTTCTCTCATTAACTGTGTGGTTACCCAGCTCGTGGGATGCTATCCAGGATGAGTGTGGTTGCCTGCAGCTCCTTTTGGCAATCTGTTGTGGAGAGGGGAAGAACTGCACTCCCCGCTCCTGGTTGGAAGTCCCTAAAGTCATAGTCCTTCCCTGCTCCATGCAGTGATCAGAAGGGTATGAGAAAAGCTCCCCTTTTCCCCAAGCCTGCTGCAGAGAAAAGCAGCAAACATGAGTAGCCCTCTGGGGAACCTCTGTGTGGCTTTTCAGCTGGGGAAATGAAGTGTTGTGGATCAAACATTAACCTAATATTCCCTTCTCTCTTTGGAAAGAAAAAAGGTGACTTTGTTGCTTTAAGGTTTTGGCTTAATTTCTTAGATTAACGTCAGCTCAGCATATTCTTAATTTCTCGTGCCTGGGAAGTAAGGGCATGCCGTGCTCTCCAGAGTGAGGACCTAGGGTTCCCAGACCGCGATCTGCAAAAGCCATTTGAGCCCTTACAGCTGAGAGCAGCAGAATGGTCTTAAGACGAAGTCATCCTCAGTACTCGAGCGTTTTTAATTCAATTTTACACTATTGTGGGCACATAAGAGTTTGGAAGCGGTTTTTGCTGGTCTGAGAAGTTTGCAGATCATGGCAGCCATCGCTGTAGCATCCCACTCTGCAGACATCTCTGCTGGTTTGCTCCCTGTGGGGCTGGACTTGACAGGCTGTGAGCTACAAGGGCCGTGTGGGAAACTGTCTTGTTGGCTCCTAACTTAATGGTCTCCCTTGGAACCTGCCTGCTGCTCATTTTTTTTGTCACCAGGTGTTGCCTTTCAGGGCTGGGAGCTCACCACTATGTTTTATGGAGGGGAGTCTCGAGACCTGAGTTTTTCCTCCTTTCTGCCAGGCCCAAACAGATCTGGTAATTTTCTTTGCAACCTTCCAGTGCTAAACATTAGTCCTTCGGCAGCTTTCTCGTAACTGCTCCGGCACATTTCCACCCCTTCAACAGTGACAGAAACGAGGCAGCTGTCGTACCCCTGGACAGGGGTAGCCAGCGACGGGGGGAATCCTTCGTTTGCCTCTCGCAGACCGAGAGAAGCTCTGACCTCGTAGCCACTGCTTCCCTCGCAGTTCCTCCCAGACACGTGCCCTTTACCAGGCTAGTTTCTGGGGGACTCATCCACAAAACCTCTCAGACCACATGAGCTGGGGCCACTTTACCCCCTCACTGGGTTAGCTTTTAAAGGACTTATATTTTTATGTATACTTTCTTTCTTCTGACCTCTCATTGCATGGATTTAGCTTGGTATATCAGGCTCTTATTCTGTTCAGAAACTTTGGAGTTTTTTATTTTCGGTTTCTGTGTTATAATGAGGGAATTCCCTAAGAAAATGCATTTTAGAAAGTCTTTAGAACAGTAGAAGTGAGTATTGAATTACTACTTGAATGGCTGCCACTGTGTCAGATAACCCAGGCAAGGTAGATCCAAATATGCCATATATCCTAAAAGAAAAGAAGGTGGCTTAGTCTGGGGGAAGCTGTGATATAGGAAGTTATGTGTGTGACTTTTTTCGTGAGTCACCACTGTTGTTTAGCCTTGTGAAATACTTTAAAATTTATTTTTCTGAAGCTTCATTAGCAACTGATTAGTTATGCAAGTCAATGAAAGTAATGAAAAAATATGGCTGAAAATTTACAGTAATTGGCATAACTGCAATATTTTATGCAGACTTTTATTAAGCATATAGCAGCTCTCCTTCAATGGAAGATGTGATGGATCAAGGCTATGTTCCAGTTCGACTGAATAGCAAAATGATAGCAAGATTAGCTCTGCGTGGATTGCATTTTCAGTGGTTTGAAAGCCTGATCTTGCAGCGTGCCCAGGGTGGTGGTCTCAGACTTGGGGAATGGCCAGCCACCTGTGGGAAAGTTCTGTTAATCCTCCTGATCTTTGAAGTGTGTCAGCAGTGCCACTGGCAGATGTGGTTATAACATAAAAGCAATGGAGATGGAGTATGGAGATGGAGTAGCAGAGCCTTTGGTGTGCCTGGTAACCTGCTTGGATAATTAGTCCCAACTGAGATCGCTGCTACTGCATCTTCACGGCTAATAAAACCTTTTGTAACTGCCAGTCTGTAGTGATATACTACAACTCTACTAGAGGTTTTGCTCCTACTTCTTGATTGCGGTGTAGACGTAGCTGTCAGGTGGGCTTACTGACTTTATATGAATGACAGAATCGCTCTAAATAATGCCAGCGCTGGTTCCCCACCCAGAAGACAGAACACAGTCAGCTTTGTGTCTCTTCCCACTGTCAATGTACCCTATCCATCAAGACATGGATAAGTAGGACTTGTGGACAAGTGGGAAGAGCTCCACTACATCCAAGACTGAAGGACCATGTAGGTTTATGTTAAATTCAAAAGCTGAATTCTCATTGGCTCCACTATGAATTTAATTATTCTTTGGAGGTTTTTTATCTAGACCAGAAAGGGTAAGAGTTTTGTCAAAGGAATCAGGAATGAAATCCTCAAAAGCTCTGTGTCTGATGCAACTTTAAAATGTCTATATGTAAGGAAGAAGTCCCAGAGACCTGCCAAACTATTACCCACTGCTGGTCTACAGCATGCTGTGGCCGTCTGTGCCCAAGGGTAGCTAAGGAAGAGGAGAAAGAGCTGGTGTCAATTTTAATTTTGCAGAGTAAAACCTTGGGAATACATTGCTCTGTTTTCTATAATCTCCATATAGTACAATTCTACAGGCAGAAATACTGGCACGTGGGAATGCGAGTGCTCTGCCTCCAGTGTTTTGGGCATGCTGAGGCATTCTCTGGAGCCAGAAATCAGCTGGGTAAAGGATGGGAGGAACTCAAAAGAGCAGAGTTGCAGCTTGCCCAAGGCAGCCACGTATGCGAACAGGATTCCCTCTTCACTTTGCATTTGTTTTCTGCATCACTGGTGGAAGGTGTACAGGAGACAAGTGCTGTGGATTGCCTCGATCCCTTCCTTCCCAGCCACCTCTGGAGGTTTGAAGCAAGAAGAAAAAGAAGAAAGGAAAAGAACATAGGGTATCTTGTTGCGTCTGTGGCAGCTGGCAGAGCTGGCCAGCATTGAGGCTACTGAAGTGGACTTGGAGCAGGGTAGGAGATTGAGAGAGAAACCATGACCCCACATAACAGTTCTTCTCAGATCTGCCTACAGCAGAGTAGACGTGTATGTCTCCTTCCCTCTGGTTACTTCCATGGTAGTCACAGGCTCGCATTCAAAGATACCTTTGCCCTGCCCCTCCTCTTTTTTTTTTTTCCTTTTCTTTTTAAATAAGATGCTCAATGATGTGCTCTCTTACTAATTAAGTTGTTATAGTCCTGGTGTACTTGCAATGATTTTGAAGTCCTGATTCCACTTTGCAGGGTGCAAGCCTGATGGTTTTTGATTAATGAATTGTCTGGTCATAACTTCTTAGAATGGGCTGTAAGTAATGTCTATGTGAAGCATGGCATGCAGGAATGTATTGCATAAGTAATGTATCTTAAAGCCATCTTGTCATTATTTTGATTCCATCAGTGAAATTTTTCCCACTACTTGGATCAAATGGGATTTCTACATGTAGTCTGAGCATGATGACACTGTCTTTTGCTACTGTTTATTTTAGCTGTGTTGGTAAAGAGCAGACAACCTTCTTTTTCACCTCTGCAATAAGTGGGCCAAGTTCACCTGCGTTGAAGTTACACGAGGCTGAATTGGGCTCTGCTTTTTCACAGGAAATGTGCTGATCAATGCAGAAAATATTTTTATTTGTGTTCCAAAAGAAAGCATGGCTTGCACAGCATTTCATGTAGCCAAAATCACATGTAGCCACTTGTCTTTGTGTGTGTGGTGCTTAAAATTGCTGTGAACAACATTAGCAAATTAGGACCCAATGCCAACCAATCTATGTGGATTGATTTTATTTTTTTTTAAATTATTTATCTTTTTCCCCCTCCCATGTAGGAATTGAATTCTCCATATGCATGTCTCAAGCACTTTTTAGGTCAAAGACATTTTCATATATGGTTTTTCCCTGTCCATATAGGTGAAGAATTGCAAGGGCATGGGAATTCGCTTGCAGGGAGTCAGCTAAGGATTTCTCTCGTAGAGAGAAGGTCTCTCAGCTGATGTGCCTGCTGCCTGTGCTGAGCTCCAAACACCATTTTGGGAGTAACAGCAGTGGGGATGGAGTGTGTTTGCCCTCTCTCTGAATTTCCATTGATTTTCATTCCTTTCCAGATTGCAGTCATACAGTCTAAATTGCAGAACTCCTGAGCCTGTCATGACATTTGCCAGAAGATGGTCCACAGAGCTGGGGAGTTACTGGGCTAAAGAAGTCTTGTCACAGGCAAATTTTTAAAGCTTTTGTGAAATGGAAGACATATTGATGGGAGAAAATTGGCTGACAGCAAGGCAGAGAAAAGACTCTTGCTGTCTGACTACAGATTATTTTCTAAGCTTTCTCTGCCTTCTGGCTGGCAGTATATATGGGATAAAAAGTAGTTAATGTAACTGTTAGATGAACTGAACTGCTGTTGGAATTCGTAGGTTCGTATCTATTTCATGATCTCAAGTTTCTGCTGAAGTGGGTGACATGCTTACTGAGAATGCGAGGATTCATTAGTGTGAAATCTTGAACCCAAGCAATTGCGGAGGCATGGATGAACAGAGCTGGTGTGTGAATTGTCTGCAAATAAATTCACTGAGTGCCATTCCTAGAGCATGCATTTGAGTCATTTTCTGAAAATGTAACATTACTTGATTTTATTGGATAATTACATAGGTCTAAATTGCATTTTATTTCTGACTTCCAGGTTGTTGTGGGAGATAAAGTTGTTCTCATGCCAGTCAATGCAGGGCAGCCTCTACATGCCAGCAACATTGAGCTTCTGGATAACCCTGGCTGCAAAGAGGTGAGTTCAGTGGAGGGAAGAGAGGTAACTGATGATCTGAGATGTATTATACGTTGTTCTTTACTGGTAATCAGACCCTACTGTGAGCCCACCGTGGGCTAGATGCCAGTATTAAACAGTGGTTCCAGCGTGGCCTTAAAAAAACAAGATGAAATAGACTTATTCTTGGCACAGTTCTGCCTGGCACTGAAAGCTTCGTGAGGTTTGCTTGAGTATCTGAAACTCTCACTGATGTAAGAGTAAGTCTTCTTCCAACAGCTCTTTAGCTTGTCTTTGGTAGGCTGTCAACAGACAGAATAGCATTTTGCCTACTGAATCTTTGCCAACATCGACACCGTTACTATTAACACTTGATAGGTTCAGGACCCGTGTTGGGAACTGTACAAATATGTAGCTAAGCCTTGTCCCCTGCCACCCTAGATGTGGTGTGGTCTTTTAGAAGAATAGAATGTCTCAAAAAGAAAAGAATACCCCCTTAAGACTGTAATTGTGTGTTTTTTTGTTTTGTTTTGTTTTTTCCACAAAGGTAAATGCTGTCAACTGTAACACAAGCTGGAAAATAACTTTGTTCATGAAGTTCAGTAGTTATCGAGATGATGTACTGAAAGGAGTAAGTGTGATTTTTAAATTGTTTTTTGAATCTGAAAAATCGTGCCTTATTTGACCGTAGAAAAATATTACATGGTGAATAAAAGAAGAAATTAGGACTTTATGGAGCTCTCGAGGATCCCTCACTACTGTTCTTCAACAGCCAGAATATTTTTCCTTTGTGTTATTGTCTTACTAAGTGAAATTGTCTGGATTGTGCTAGCTTCCAGCCCCTTTCCCCTCGCAGAGACAACTGAGGATCCGTGAGAAAGATGAGGTTCAAGCCCAGAATGATGAGGGCTCTGTACAGAATAGCTGTCACACTTCAGTTTATGCCAAGATGCTAAAAGCAGGTATAACAAGCTTAAAGGAAGGAGTGAGACATGAAAGATGACAATAGCTGTAATAAGACAATGTAGCTTTAAATGCTGAGGTGTTGCACAGCTTCGTGCCTCCAGATCACTCCCTGAGATCATTTACATTTTCATTTTAAAGAAATTAATTTAATTTGTCCTCACTTGCACCTTAATATGTCATTATCAGAGGCTATTTTTCAGTAGGTATCAAGGTACCAGCAGTTTTGGAGAAAGAATTTGAAAGGGGAAATGGTATGTCTGTGTAGACCCATTTGAGGATAAGTGTTTCAAGCCTCAGGGAGAGGCAGAAGGAAACAAAAATGATGCTAGCAGAAGAAATAGGGAGGGGGCATTGGTTTTGGTTACAGAGTAGAAGAGATGAGACAATAAGATGTTAGAAAAATCTGTTCACTTTCCCTAAATACTAAGAGAGATTAGAAATAAAAAAATCCATTTAGCAGAGTTAGCTAGAATGAAAAATTAGGTTCACTATTCATTGCAGGGCTGTGAAACAAGTTCTGTTTTCACACAAGTGCATGGGTCTCCTGTAGGACTAAATTATCGTATTTGATTTCCAGACACAGTGCTGAGATTGTACCCTCTGCACTTGGTACCTGCTCCAGCAATAGGAAACTAATAAAAGTTTTCTTCGCATCAGCTATGTTGACGTCACTGGGGCTAGTACGGATATAGAGGATGAGTCTAGCGGCTTTGCCTACCACTTACTAATGCTTCTTTTTCATATTACTTTAGGGAGATGTTGTTAGGCTGTTTCATGCAGAGCAAGAGAAGTTTCTGACCTGTGACGAATATGAGAAAAAACAACATATTTTCCTTCGTACTACATTACGTCAGTCAGCCACTTCTGCAACAAGTTCTAAAGCACTGTGGGAAATAGAGGTATTTTTTTCTTTTTATAAATATTTTAGGACCTGAAGGCCAGGGTTCAGTAAAAATACTTCACCACAACATGAATCATTCATAGCCTCTTGATACCGTCATACACCTTCCTGTAAGTATTATTATTTTATGAAGCGGTTTGTGTAGGAAGAACACTGAAGAGATGCTTTACTGCTGTGCATGTGTGGAGAGAGGATGTTTTCTTACTATATTTACCTGCACTAAATGACGAAGAGGCAAATTCAGACTTGACGTAAATGGTGCCATTTTATCAAAGCCAATTGAATGACTGATTGTTTATATTTTGTTCTGAGTGTTTATATTTGACTTCATGTGCGATGTAGAAAATTGAAATTCATGACTGACAAGAAATCTCACAGATGTGATCGGGTGCGTTCTTCTGCAACAGAGCACATCAACATCTGTTTAAAGTTAGGCTGAATAAAGGTGTTGTTGCTGAACGGGGGTGATTTTGAGAAGATGACTAGCAAATATATTTTTGTTTAATTGAGGAACATTGGTAACTGGTATGTCTCAAACCCGTGCTATTACAGTAATGTAACTCCTATACCCAGAAGCTCTTCTGTGCTGAACAAAGTTTATACATTTAAAACAGAGCTCCTCACTCAGGCAAATGGTTGATTTTTTGTCGTAGTAAGGACTGTATGGAATAGAGTGTATTGCACTTGTAGTTATTTGAGACTACTCCTTAAGAGAGACAGGCACTGCTAGGTTTGAAGGTAGCACATGACCAGCTCAGTCAAGGGGAAAAACAAGTAACCTGGGATACTTCAAATGATTCGGGGGTGTTTTATCACCTGACTGAAAATTTATCAGAAGCCCTTAGTGTTGTCAAAAATAGAGCTGGTATAAGTGGTGAAACAATTTAAGAGGGTTTGAGTTTTGCTTTTAAGTAGTGCCTGTGTAAGTGTAGAGTAGCTCCACTTAACTTTCTTGAGCTTCAGATTCACACCATGTCACTTTAAAGCAAAATTTGGCTCATCATGTTCGCAGGGAGTAGAAAACATGGAAAGTAATAGTAGTATTTCCTGGCACCTGGCAAAAAATAAATGTAAGTATTTGTGTGAGCACACAATTCCTCTCTGTGGTAGACTATTTTTAATTATGTAGTTTACATATTTTTATTTGGAATAATCTGTAAGAAACGTCAGTGATCTAAGTATGATCTTGAAGAGCACGATTAAAATCTGTACTTCTTCTTGTAGGTTGTCCATCATGACCCTTGCCGGGGAGGGGCAGGACAGTGGAATAGCTTGTTTAGATTTAAGCATTTGGCAACTGGAAACTACTTAGCTGCAGAGGTAAGAATTTCAATTAAACAAGTGGTTGTGTACTGACTAACCAAGTACTATACATATCCTGCTAGTTCAGAAATGCCCTGGTAGGTAGGTTGATGATGTAGGTCTCTGAAAAGATCTCACGTCAGGTGTGAATGGGGAGAATTGTATGTGGACTGCTGTGTCATGTTGTATTGCTGTATCCAAGGGTTGCAAGGAAAAATTTCTGAACTACCGGACACTAGTAGGTGAGTTCAAGACAACATACAACCTCAAGTTAAACTGCGCTGTTGAATCTTGAATCTGCTGTTTGTTGTCTTGGCAGCCAGGGCAAACACCACTGTTAAATATCCACTGTATTTACACTGGAAAACCTTGGATTCATTTATCTCTCTGCTCTTGTTTGCCTTTGATTTTTGGAGTAGTGTTGTGATCAGTCAAATATTCTTCTTTGCTGGCTCAGGCAGCCATATGCAGATTAAAGCTTTTAGAGTGGAACTGAATGCCAGGTAATTATTGAGCTTGATCAGTGAAGTTTGTGTGCAGGCACTACAACAGATACTCTGAACTGCTCTAATTGAGGAGTTTTTTCCCCCTGTAGGCTCTAGACTTCTTGAAAAAATGTTTCTGTGGTGCTGGTTTCAGGGTGTTGGTCTCTGCCAGCCAGCATGTGGTCCAAGGCATCTCTGTATTCTGTAGGAATGACAAACTTGTCATAACCATCAGTGTCATGACAGCGCGTTGTGATTATAGCAGGTTGCACTGTTCTGCTGTTGCACTCCTGTCTTTTGACTAAAAAAAAAAAAAAAAAAAAAAAAAGAAAGATCCGAGATCCGAGGAGATCTTGCCGCTTTTGGTGGAACAGAAGGTTCAGGAGGAGGAGGATCTTGCAACTTGTCTGGTTATTATCTGGTACTTTATGTTAAGGTGAAATAGACTCCCTGAAAAAGCAGCTTAATATCTTTTAAGACCCATAATTGTCTTCAAAGGTAAAATAGGGCTCTTGACAAGCTGGAAGAGAGCAGATAGTACCAAGTTTATGAAATGGGAGAGCCTTGGATTTTTTCCTGGTTGCAAGAAGCTGTGAACTTTTTAAGTCATATCTAATCTGTATTAGAACTGGTCTGTGTCCAAGTTATATCAATGCAATGAAAAGTAGGGTGTTTTTCCCCACTGATTTAGTTAAGTCTTTGTAGGATTGCCTCTTTGACTTATTGCTTCCAAGCATGAGTGTGAAAATTCACAACTACAAGAGCCTGTTATAAATCAATATATGTTAGGGAATCCCTGAAAAAAGGCTTGCTCTAGCTGGATTGAGTTACATTTACAGGAATGCGACTTCCGTACGCAGACAAGTCCTTAGTGTTCCCAGGGTGCTGCTTTCGCTGCCCAGCTCCTGTCACAGCCTGCGCTGATTTCAGAGTAAGACCAAACAGGAGTTGTCAAACCTTTACTTACTTCAAATTATGTCAAAACCAGTGTCAAAACATAAACAGTGGACCACCAGGATAGATACTGATATTATTTTCCATCTAAGACAGAATGTACTTTGGATCTTTTAATTGGTTTTAGCGGTAGCTCACAAGTGTAAGTTAGAAACCTGATAGGCCTGAGTGGCGAAAAGCATCATCCCGTTCAAGGCAGTGGGCCAGCATGTCCTAACGGCCCTGCTCTGCGCCGCTGCCTCCACGCTGCAGCGATGCCTTGGCTTGGCTGAAGCCAGCTGGCGTTATTGTGTAGTTCATACTGCCTAATAATAGCTAATTTTCAAGTGGCAACCAGTGCTCCCACCAAAGAGATGGTTCTTTTTTCCTCTCTGTTTACGTGAGAGATGCTCTTAGTAGAAAGATTTTATTCAGACTGGCTAGGCTGATGGAGAGTCAGGGAAGGCATGAAGCACTCTGACTGATTGGCTTCCTTCTCCAACCATACCTCATCCGCTCTGGGATTTTCAGGAGAAAAATCTTCAGGTGAAGAGGTGTCACACTACACTGAGCTTGGGTCCTTTCTACCTCTGGAAAGGAAATACCCATCAGGAAGACTCGTAATATGGAAAGCACTGAAGAGCGTTTGGGTTGAGCAGAGGTGATATGCTGTGACTGGAGAGCAGCATTAGCTACTGTATCTATGAAGTGCAAATACCTGCTGGTGGAGATATTAAAGGTACTGCTGTAATAAAACCCTGTGAACTGTATTTTACACAGTTCACATGTAAGGCACAACACACCAGCCAGACACAGACATCAAAGATTTATGAACAGGCAGGCAGACACCTAATGTGCATGAGCTAACTTTAAATCAATTGGGAAAAGCTTGCTGAACACTTATCTGTGCTCTTGCAGCGCGGGAAGATTACTCACGGTATGAATTATCGACAGCATCACACATTGCTGTGACCTGATTTTGTTTAAGCTTCCATGGTAAAGATACTTAGAGTGGAATAATAAGTACAAACACATAAACAAAATTCACGAATCTTTTAGGCATTCTGTTGTTGGCTAATGATACAATTTCTGTCACAGTTTGAGCTGTTGTAAGTCAGGATTAATCACTGTTTATAACCATCTTTTCCTTACTTCATCCTTCTGTAAATCAGATTGATGTGTACCACAGACACTCCTGCGGTGGAATCTTGCATGGGTCAAATCTCAGAAAATGAGCAGAAGTGTCCTTCACCTGGGTGCTTCCTTCTGCTCCTTCACAGTTAGTGCTGTGCCTTCTCTTTTCCCCTGAGGCTTCAGTTGTAACTGGTCAGCCTGATTTCTGACTCAGTGGGTCTGAGCCATGTGGTGAAGGGATGCCACTGCAGCTTGTTAAGGCCAGGGGATGATTTGGGGACTAAGAAAATTCAAGCCACTTGCCCCAGAGAATTTGGGAGTTTGAAATTAATAAACTTAAAGGTGCCTCAATACTACAGTAACTAAGTTGTTTTTTTTTAAAATGAGGCAATACAGTTGTTCAGTAAACAGGACATATAGGTGAGTGCTTGTAAATCTAATCCCTATAAACTTGAGAGAATGAAGTCAGGATATGCAAGTCCTACATTCCATGTTCCTAAGAATCACAGTTGCATGTTCCTAAGAATCACGGTTGTCCAGCTTCTATTATCTTTCAAAGACTAAGGGTCCTTTGATACCTCTAACTTCTGACACAGTCTCAAGTAGTACCATTTCCTTTAGTCTTCTTTCCACTTGACATTACTTAGGCAAATTTTCATTAATATGCTTCGAAGTTTATTAAGACCTACTAATACCATAGAGCAACCTACACCCTACTGCCAGACTGTGGGCTGAAGGTGACCCACCCTGAAAGACCCACTGCTAAAGGAGATCCAGTGGAAGACATTTGCGAATTGCTTATAGCTGCATTGTCATTCCTCTACTACTATATACATCCTGAGGACACGATCTGACATATCAGATGCATGTGTGCTCTCACACAATTACTTAAGGCACAGGAGAGAGATGCTGAAGAAAGAGTTTCATGTTTGGTGGTAAGACTTGGGACATTGGAAATCTGGATAGGCGGTAATGTCTCCAGCATTTGGAAACCTGAAACCACTGGCTCAGACATTCCTAAAGTATTGAAATCATTAAAAAGTGGAACAAAATACTCAGCTGAAAAATTGGAAAGAGAAATTCTCCTCTTTGGAGACAGTGGGATTTCTGTTGTTAGTGTCAGAAGGGCTTACTTTCACCCAAAAGAGCTGAGCTAGATTCTTAGCAGGAGATTTAGACACTAAGCCACCAGCTAAGATCCAGGCTGCTGAGTTTTATTCTCATCTTCACAGAGTCAGCAGTCTTTTAGAAAAAGTTTTGTAGAAGATTCTTTTTTTTAGCTCTGGTTACAGCAAAATGACCCAAGTTATTTTGAAGTTTTGTGTTTATAGAGAGAAGCTGTAGGGTTAGGTGAAAATTGAATGCTTCAAAGTAACAATAACTTTCCCAAATTTTTTTCAAGTCTTTTCAGTGCATGTACCACGTGTAGAACGCACCCAAATCTATCTGTCTGTGTGTGGGAGCGAGCTGGAATTTACTTAAACAGCCTTTCAAATGCTGCAGGTTGAGACCACACAGCTGTACCTTTCTCATGAACACACCTCCCCGTTTCAATATTCTAATCGCCAGGATAAAAGTTTCTTTGAACTGAATATCAGCTTATTGATTGTGCTGGACCAAAACATGCACCTTTAATACTGTTCACCATGTGTATAGCCGCTCCAATTCTGTGACTGCTAAACTGGATAATCTGTACTGAAACTATTAACACTTGCTGTATGAGGATGTTAAGCAGAAATATGTGTGCCCATGCGTACATATATGCACGCCCAAGAAATGCAGGGTAGGTCTGTCATTTCATACTAAACTTCTCAGGTGAGATGAATATTGCTAAAATAATCACAAAATACATATGCAAATATAAAATCACCTGCTAGTCTGAGATGTTGAAGTAGACGATAGATAAACCACAGTACGTTGCTTGTGAAACCTTGTGAACACGTACATAATCACAGTGCAGAATTTGTAAAGAAAAATCCGTGACAGTTTTACTTAGCTGAATAGACTAAACTAGTTACTAGATACCTTGGCCAAGATACGGCAGTAAATCTGGTGACGTAATTGGCTTTAACACTGAATTAACTATACTAAATGAATTAAGATAATGCAGGTAGGATGACAGCCTTAATGTTTACCTTCTGTGATTCTATAAAATTGTGGCCATAAACAAGGGTTCAAATTATTACTGTGTCTTCCAAGGTGTTGCGTAGAGTACTGGTGTTGCTCCAAAAGGTAATCTGTGCTCTGAAGTTCTAAACGAACGAGAAGAGTGAGAACGGGCTGGCCAATGCAATAGGTTGAAGCAGTGAGCTCAGAGGTAATGGCAGAACCAAATACAGTTTTTCTGATTCGACGTGTGCTTCATTCATTAAAACAAATTGTTGCTCTCATTCAGTAAAGCTCTCAGGGCTGGCCTTGCCTCTGAAGTCAGTGGAACACGAGCATTTATGCGCTCAGGGGTTCAAG